AGATGTTACTAATATTTTGTAATAATAGAATAAGAATAGATTCCAGATATGACTGCGTAGGGTTGTTTAAGACGGTCTTAGAACAGATATTTGGTTATAGTTTCCACTTGGGACTTCCTCATTTATTTGTCAATCTACTAAACCAACTAAGTGCTACCAAAATATGGTAGCTGAGTCAAGAGACATGAGTCTATTGTATATCCTTTCTAGCAGAAGGTAGCACAAGTGTTGTGATGCTTTAATCAACTGAAAGTGCAACGTTTTTTATTATGGCATTGGCAGCAGAGATTTGTCACATTTTTCATGGGCGCAACCCACATACTCAGCTCTGCTGCTCATCCCACAGATGCATGTTCCTCACAAGTGTGGCACCATTTGAAAGGTAAATAAACAGGTTTTCCAACGGTAAACATTTATTGACAAGAAGCATTGTTACTGCAAATAAATAATATACCAAACACAGATTTCCTTACCGTTTGTGTTAAGTTTATATCAAATACAGAAAATATCTTAATTCATACAAAAGTAGCTGTATCCCATATTTTTGTGCATCATAATATTTTTTATAATTTAATATTGTGTCAATTATTCACGTACACATCACTGTTGAGAAGTGATGTGTGCAGTGGTCTGGGAAACAAGCAAAACCACATGCAGCTGCTATAATAACAAATAAAAGCTGTGAATTTAATAGTCTCACCCTCTGACCAAACATCTACACCTCATCACTCAGACTCAACAGACCTGTGGTATTCCACAGGACGTTAGAGGTGAGTCGTGCAAAATGTAACTAAGTTCTCATCATGTTATTGTGAGTCATGTGGTTTATAACTATCAGCATCTCTAACTTGCAGGTCCAGCATGATGCATTTGCATGCTCTTAAGCATCGACCTCAAAGGGAAGAAAGACCTCTGTCCTATACACCTGTCATAGGTGTATGACAACCCTGTGGTTGTCCACCAGGTGGTGCTGTTGTAACCTGTGTATTCATCAGCTAAAACCCCGGCGTCTGTTACATTTTTAACCTTATGCTCATTCAGGTACGTTGCAACGCGATCTGGAAGGATATTTTTGAATTGTTCAAGAAGGAACAGTTCCCTCAAATCATTAAGATTTACTACTTCGGAAGCTCCGAACAAGTTCCACATAGGTCTGTCTTTCTGACTTCCTTAGCTTCCTGAACTGCTGACGGTAGGCCTCAGGTACCAACTCATAAGCTTTTAGCACTGCAGTCTTTACCCTTAAGTAATCTTCACTGTCAGCCAAACTTAATGCAGAAAATGCTTCTTGAGCCCTACCAGTTAACACACACTGTAATAGCAATGTTTTCTCCCAATCAGACCACTGTCGTCTTTGGCTAAGTCGCTCAAAAAGTCAAAAAAAAGAATCTACAGTCTTCTCCTCGAATTTTGGTAACAACCTCAAGTTATGAGCTACATCAAAAGTGGCTGGGGACACCCCAGAAGAAAGCTTACCCTCTTGGATGAGGTCCAACTTAACGCTCTTGTTCTAATTCAGCTTCCCGCACCACTGTAGTTAACCTTAAACGCTCCATCTCAGTATCCTGTTCACGAGCTCTAGCCCGGTCCTCACGAGCATTTGCTCGTTCCTCACGTTCACTGTCTTGTTGGTACTGCAGCAGCATTATTTCCTTTCTCTGTTCAAATGTCATTTCACCAAAGTCAAACAAAGAAAAACCTGCACTTCTCTGCCGCTCTGGATTTATTGCTGCCTTCTCAGCCAACTCATCCTCGGAACAATCATTGACAGCCACTGCTGGCAGAACTTCTTGCAGTACCAACTGGGTCTGTAACGTAGTCACTATGGTGTCTTTACGACCCTGCTTTGGAACTTCTACCTCAAAATGCTCTGCAATTTTTAACAGTTGGTCTTTAGTACATTTTTGCAGCAGTTCCACACTGGGACACTTAACAAAATCCGCCAATGTAGCCATGATTATACAAACTCCCTCCCTTCCAGCCTTGCCAGTGGTTATATTGGGAACGTTAGAAACACAAAATTACAAAATGAAGCAAAATAATTTGCTTTAATCAGAAGTAAGTCTTTAACATGAAGATAATCACACCAGGCCCTTTCGGACTTAAACTGCAGATTTGTAGGTTTGCCATGAGTGTTTATTTGTATACATTTAGTTCAAACTAAGGGAATAATAATAACACTTGTTTGGATCCTCTTTGCTTTTGGCCTCACACAGTTACTGCTTTATGTGGGGACCAGTTGTTACTCCAAACAACACATTACAATTGACAATGTTTAAAACACTATCTATAACATTTCAGCTTGAACTTTGACTTTGTTTGACCTTCAGCTCACAACCCAAAAATATAACTATTTGTCATGATGCATAAAAAAGGAATTATACCTCATACCTCATTATCTGTGTTTCACAATGTGTTCCCAGCAGTACGTTCTACTTGGATGAGCGACAGAGTTTCAGTTTTCTTTCTTTTTAGCTGAAACTCATAAATAACCTCTACAGCAGTGGTCCCCAAACTAAGGCCCGCGGCCGGGTACAGCCCGCCTCCACATTTGGCCCGGCCCCCTGAACAATACCAGAGACGCATTATGATTTTTTTTTTTGATTTTTTTATTATTATTTTATTTTTTTATTAATTTTTTTTTTTTCAGTCTGGCCACCTAAATCCTAGACTAGCCCCTGTCAAAATGTTGTGACCTGCTCTATCGAAATCAGTCGCATTGACCCGAAGACACCTTTTGAGTTGTATACACAGTTGGAAAGAGGATATTCCTAGCTTTCTAATGATATCAGGATTGTTTTTGTACTTCAAATATTAAGCGAAATATGTCACATTATATAATGACTGTCACAGAGTCATCATTTGGAGAAAAAGGCCTTCAAAGTTGTCTCTTCTCTGGAATCCATCGATCTGATTGATTATTAGCGGAGCAAATGATCAAAATACTACCGAGGGAAGATATTTTCGTTTGGAGGGGAAGCTCGCGAGTGTGTGTGTATACGTGTGTGTGTGAGTGTGTGTGCTTGTGTAATTTTGCGTTTGTGTGTATTGTGTTTGTTTCCCGGGGAAAACACTCACGAGAAACACCGGCTGTTGTTATGCCTGCCGTTCTCCGCTTGTAAATATGCCGAAGCTTCAAAGTTGTATTTATCATCTGAATTTGCCGAAACAAGTTTAATATTCTGAAAGCCAAGACTTTGTTTAATTGAAATCAGATGAAAACAAACTGTAACGGACCCTGCAGTGTTATCTATGATTACTATACTCTTACATTCATAATTTCAGCGGAGTGAGTGGGGGGGGGCGGCGCTGCGGAAGAGCAGATTGCGAGTGAGAAATAAATAAATTGGAAATAAAAGTTTCATATTCTGAAAGCCAAGACTTTGTTTGTTTAAAATCAAACAAACACCCGAACCCCGAAAAATAGTTTTTTTTACGTAAATCCACGTTATTTTGAGAGATTCTGCTCTGACAACTAAGCTAAACTTTTACCTGTTAAGATTGTGCACGGCACAACAGAAAGTTACAGTAATTTTCAATGGACTTTTTTTCTGTGAAGAACCCAGAGAGGGTTATTTGGTTATTATTTATTTCATAAATAGTGTTATTTATTTCATTAATAGTGTTATTATTTATTTCCTGACTTTTTTTCTGTGAAGATCCCGGAAAGGGTTATTAATATTTGGTTATGTGTGGCTTTCTAGAAAACAATAAATGTTTACGTTTAGACACCCATGCGATCGTCACACTTTTTCTGTTACAAACTGACCCGGCCCCCATCAGAGAAGGGAAAAGTTATGTGGCCCTCACAGGAAAAAGTTTGGGGACCCCTGCTCTACAGCCTTGTTGCTTTACTTTGTATAAAAGCTTTAGGGCCATCAGAAATCTCATTTTCACATTTCAGTGGGACATCGTGTTAACTGCTTTCACCCGGTAAGGAAAAAAAGCAACATTCTGAATTACCAGGTATCTTCATTTTTATCAGAGTGGTTGATTACAGAAAAAATGGTGAAGGTCCGAGGATCATTCTCATTGGATGTGGGACACTTTTGACACAAAAGCTAAACAAAACCAGTTGATGTAATTTGTCCAGTCTTAAAAATCCATGGTAACATTTTATGGATTTGAGTGTTGGTATTTCCCCCCCTCTTCTCAGAAATAAAAAAACTTTTTTTCTTTTCCGTCGCTTGTCTCCTAACTCATACATGCAGCCATTTCCTTAATGAAAGTGATTTAAGAAGCTCTCTGTATTGAGAGCAGCTTTGATCCCTCATCACAATGTGCTTACAAGAGGCTTTTTTTCAACCACTATCTGAAGGATTGTCATGATATTTTGTACACACTTTTATGCTCCTCCGGAATGACTCTTAATGACTTTGGTGATCTACTGAATTCTCTTCCTAGGTTTTTCTTGTCCCACTCTCAGGTTTACATGTTTGTTGTCTAAATGTGTCTTTGTGGTGCAGAGTTTCATGGTCCACACAGGATAAATCCTAATAACGTGAGCGATTCATGTAATGGTTGTCATCACTTAATATTTATGTGTTTAGGATTGGGAACCGGAACTCTATTTCCAAGTAAGAATCAAATGCAAAGTTTGGAGCACCGGGTACCCAAAGAAAAAGGAGAATGTATTATTGTTATGCATTTTGTTTCCTAACCAAGCACATTGGCTCTCTCTCTGGATGACGTTTTGTTTTGTCATGGCACTCTGGGAAGATTTAGAGATGCAAACAGGACTGCAGATTCACTTGTACACTAAGCAACAACTGAAGTTCAGCACAGCCGCGTCTCTACCTCTCGATCGAACCACACACTGCGGCTCCGCTGCCCGCATAACACCCTTCATCTTTCTCTAAACATAATGTAGCTGATTCAGCATTTTTCTTCCATTCAAAAAGACCACAAAACCTCAAAGTGTTGCAATACAACATTGTGACAGGATATGTATTTGTTGGGCCCTCCCTACTGTCGCAGTGTGACCCATCCCCACCATCTCATATCCTCACCTTTACTGCAAAACCAACGAAGATCCCAACAAGAGACAACATCAAGATGATCCTTTTATGGATTACACTGCTTCTTCTCCATCAAGGATGTAAGTGCTATCTATCTCTTCCAGATAATGTACTTCTTCAGCGTTAGTGAGGGGAAATAAATACATATTTTTTACATTTGTTTATTAGTAAGAGAATCATAGCAACCTTTTTCTTAAAGGTTGGTATATAGTTACAGAACCTCAAACATACTTTATATTTCTGGATGTATTTACAGAAATCAATGTGTGTGTATAAAATTGCAAGTAATATTGTTTGTTCAATCTTCTTTCCTGTATACTTCCATTGCACTTGTAGATTATGATTGTTATAATAATGATATATTCTCTATTGTCTTTTAATACAGGTGGACTGATTCCAGTGACCATAGTTCAACTTGGTGAATCTGCAACCTTCACATGCGTTTACCCTGATTGGGAGCATAGCAATACACGAGTCAAGTGGTACAAACAGAGTGTTGGTGATTCTCTTACATTAATTACTACACTGTTGAAAGGCACTGAAAATCCTGCATTTGAAAAAGGGTTTCCTCACTATCGTTTCAATGTAAAACATCTAGTTAACATGAGCTCTCTGACCATTTTGAAGACAATCCAAGATGATAAGGCAATGTATCACTGCGCAGTCACTACGTGGATCAAGGATGAATGGACGAGCACATATTTGTCTTTAGAAGGTAATACCTATCTCTGTATTTGTGTTAGTAGTGTGAAGATAAAACAGATGCTTTTAGTTTCATAATAATTGACAATTTCAAAATCTGACATTTTCATTTTGACCTTCCATTACTGAAATTACATGATAAACACAACTGTTTTACAATTTCCACTGTCGTGTTCTGTAGGAAACACTCTGAGGGCGACAAACGTTACTGTTGTTCAGTGGCCGACACTATCCGATCCAGTTCATCCAGGAGACTCCGCCACTCTCCAGTGCTCAGTCCTCTCTGACTCTGAGAACAAGAAATGTCCAGGGGAGCACAGTGTATACTGGTTTGGAGTCAGATCAGATACGTCTTATCCTAACATCATCTACACTGTTGGAAATGAACCAAATGAGTGTAAGAAGACATCGGACACTCAGAAGAGTTGTGTTTATCACCTCTCAAAGAACTTCAACTCCTCTGATGCTGGGATTTACTACTGTGCTGTGGCCACATGTGGAGAAATAGTATTCGGAGACGGAACAAAACTGAACATTGAAGGTAAAAGTATTGCTGTTTATTTTAACCCGTTTTCTTCCTTTTATCGTTAATGTATGTGCTTTTGAGTTTGGGATATGTTTGTATTTAACTCTAAGTTATACAGTTGGTTCTCTATTAGCTTCTTTAAACTGTCTTTATGGATGGCAAGCCAATCTAATTTAAGTATTCCAGATGTCTTGGGCATTATTTTATCTGGCCTTAGACATCATTGATGTACATCACATGTTTGTAATAAGAAACTATAGGTTACTTACGTAACCCCAGTTCTCAGAGTAACATGAAGTGAGATGTCTCACTATGGGATGCGCCTCATCGCGGAGCAAACAGAAGCATCAATCTCATTACGCCAATCCTGATTGGCTGGTGATCTTGACGTCAGTGTCAGGGAATCACCCCCTATAAGTAGCTTGCGCCACGACGCATGCATCATTCAAAATAAGCACCTCTTCTCGCTTCACCATAGCAAGGAGGGCCGTCTGGTGAGACATCTCACTTCATGTTACTCTGAGAACTGGGGTTACATAAGTAACCTATAGTTCTCATTCATAACACTCCGTTCGATGTCTCACTATGGGAAATTGTGGCTCCCGTATTGCCAGACGAGCTTATCTCGAAAATCACCAACCAAACAGAACTTAACAGGTAGAGTCCCGACTCAACAAGGTGCCCAGCACTGCTCGGGCCACACTTGGAGCGGAGACGTCTAGCCTGTAAAAGCGGACAAAAGTGAGCGGCGAGGACCAGCTCGCCGCTGCACAGATGTCTTGGATGGAAACACCCTTGAACAAAGCCCAGGATGTAGCCAGGCCCCGAGTCGAGTGTGCCCGCAGACCCGAAGGTGCTTGAAAACTCTGACTCGTATAGGCCAAAGCAATTGCTTCCACAATCCAGTGGGAGAGCCGTTGCTTAGTAACAGGCTTGCCCTTGTGAGGGTTAGCCCAGGACACAAAGAGTTGGTCATTAAGACGAAGCTCCTTTGATCTGTCCATATATGTGCGTAAAGCACGGACTGGACACAACAGATCCTGCTGCTGTTCCCCGGAGGAAACCAGCGGCGGAGGAAATGCCTCAATGTCAATTGGGGTACACGAACCAACCACCTTTGGTGTAAAGGCAGGGTTGGGCTTCAACAACACTCTCGTTTGCCCTGGGGCGAACTGAGTGCATGAAGGATGTACAGACAGCGCATGAATATCACTGACCCGCTTGGTGGATGCCAGGGCCAGTAACAGCACTGTCTTGAGTGACAAATGTTTCATGTCAGCTCCTTCCAGGGGTTCAAATGGGGTCATTCTGAGCCCATTTAAAACCACTGCCAAGTCCCATAAGGGCACCAGTGACCTGGAGACAGGGAGGAGCCTGCGAGCTCCCTTCATAAAACGGCAGATCAAAGGATGTTGGCTAGCCGTCTTACCCTCAAAGCAGGGCCGGACTGGGACAATAAGTCAGGCCGGGAGTTATACACCCAGCCAGGCCACTACCATTGTTTTTGTGCCATTTTGCTGGATTTATTTGTCAATATTTACAGCGTTGCTGCCCATAGTGATAGCCCTATAGTTTAAATCTACTACCCAAAAATAAACATATGGACATGGGTCACTATTTAAAAAAAATGTGAAAATCTATTTAGGAACCTATCCATGTGCACATATTTTAAGTGGGGGTGGACCTCAAATCCGCTAGGGGGGTCCGGGGGCATGCTCCCCCGGTAAGATTTTTGTGTTAAATGTTGGAGTTAAATGCATCAATCTGGTGCATTTTGAGGGGGAAATAAAGAGACTAGATCTATGGAAACACCCATATGAAACAGAACTGTATACATTTAAATAATCATAAGAATATGGCCATAACCAATAACATACCATATCCAATATTTAAAAACATTTGAACTTGTTTATTTATTTGTTTTTGGTCATTTATAGTTGTGTGTGTCTGTGCTCCTGAATCAGCCTCTCCTGTCTCCCCCCCTCTCCCCTGCTCCTCTTTTAGGCAGCAGCAAATACTAGTTTTAGCTCTCAACAAGTTTTAAAAGTTTATCTTACCTTTTTTCACCTAGTTAACGTTTTTTTTTTTTATTATTCATGCATATTATTTAACTAATCTCACTCCCCCCTCAAATGGAAATATGTGTTTACATAAATGGAGACCAAACCGTTTGAGACCCACAGAGATAACTTAGACAAAGTTAACTATCTAAACACTCAAGAGAGTCCTTTACCTCACCTGAGCTGTAGTTATCAGTCTCTCAGTCTGACTGGAGAGGACTCTCCTCCACCTTGTTGTTGAAACAGCTCCTTATATCGGTTAGCGCAGCTAGCTAGCACCAGATGCTAACAGCAACAATACAGTAACCGGTGCGCGCGCTCTCTCGCTCGCTCCCGAGCTTGAATGACACACAGAGACCAATCGAGGGCTTTAGTGTATGATCTGTATGAAAGTGGCCATGTCGGCGGGCCACATCATGTAGACAGCCAGTCACCCTCTGTGAGGCAAGACCCCCATTTGCGCAGCGTTGCGTTCACTATACATAGGCTACATTACAAAAAGAATCCTCAGGCCAGCAGGCCACTTAACAGGCCAGGCCATCGGGAAACCTCCCGGTCCTCCCGATGGCCAGTCCGGGCCTGCCTCAAAGCCCACATGGCATGCAGCAATAGCAGCCAGGTACACCTTGATCGTGGAGAAAGCTCTGTGTTTATCAATCAAGTCCTGTAGAAATGATAAAATCACCCCGACAGGACATTGAAAAGAGATGTGTCCTTCTTGAAGGCACCACTCTTCAAACACCCTCCACTTACAGTCATAAAGAGACCTGGTGGAGGAAGCTCTCGCACTCTGAATAGTGTTTATCACCTTCTGAGGGAGTCCCACTGTATTCAGATTGTACCACTCACGGGTCAGGCCCATAGTGCCCCGCGCTCTGGGCGTGGATGAAGGATCGCCCCCCCCGCCTGAGACAATCTGTCCCTGCGTAGAGGGGGGCTGCCATGGCTGCCCGCACAACAGCTGATATATCTCCGCCAGCCCGTACGTTGCGGGCTAGGGCGGAGCCATCAGGATAAGTGTGTGGCGTTGCTCCTTCACTCTGGCCAGAGTTGGGGGTATCAGAGCCAGGGGTGGGAACGCGTACAGAAGACCCGGAGGTCAATCGTGTACGAGTGCATCCACGCCTAACGGTGCGTTTAAATCGTGCATTAAAGAGAACAGCTGTCATTGAGCATTTTCTCTTTATGCGAACAGATTTAACGTGGCTCTGCCGTAACGCACCCACAGCGGACTCACGATCCTTGGATGTGGAGTCCAGTCTGCATAGAGTGGTGCACTTCTGGACAGTAGTTCTGTCCCGAAGTACATCACTCCTGGTACATGCGTCACTCTCAGAGAGAGGAGACGTCTGCCGCTCCAAGGGATAAGTTTGTGTGCCAGTGTGTGTAACTGGAGACAACGCAACCTCCCTTGGCGGTTCATACACGATACTGTGGTCGTGTTGTCTGTCCTCACGAGGACATGGTGTCCTCTGAGAGAAGGCAGAAAGCGTTTTAGGGTGGGGAACACCGTTTAAAAGCTCCGGGTGATTTACGTGCGCCCGCTGGAGGTCTCTGCTCCAGAGACCCCTCACCGGGCGACCTTCGTAAATACCCTATCAGCCTGTCAGACATGCGTCCGTGGTGGCCATCTTCCGTGAAAGGACAGCACCCGTAGGCGCGCCCTGTACTAGAAAAGTCGGGTGCGGCCAGTGGCGTAGTGCCATTACGCATTTCATAATAACCAATACTCTCCGCACGCCGTGGCGCGCGGGGTTTAGTTTTATTATGAGACCCATGTTGAGCAGGTGCTTTACGAGGACATTTGTCTGCGTAATCTGACTCTGCTCGGCGGGCATTATAGATAAAACCCTCCTTTCTAGGAGAGAGAGAATCTCTCTCTCCAGAATATGGGTTGACTCTCCCCGGGCTTGTGAAAACAGATAGCCCGAGAAGCCGAGGGGGGGGTGACGGTGACTTGGAGTCTGTAGCTCCGTGTAACCGTCTTGAGAAACCCAAGCAGATGTCGTGAGCATCTCCCGCTGTATGCTCCTTAGAGCAGCTGAGATGTCACGTCTCTTCCCCTCTGAGTCTCTATTTGTTGTGTTATGGGGCCCTCCAGTGTCTGAGCACTGTGGTGCCCCATTACGACAATCCCCACCGACACAGCGCATGCGTGTGGCGGTGGTGCCCTTACGGCTCCAGCCGGCACTGCGCATGCGCATGGCGGTGGTGCCTTCACAACCCCAGCCGGCACTGCGCATGCGCATGGCGGTGGTGCCTTCACGACCCCAGCCGGCACTGCGCATGCGCGTGACGGTGGTGCCTTTACAGCCCCAGCTGGCACTGCGCATGCGCGTGACGGTGGTGCCTTCACAGACCCGTCAATTGTCCGCCCTTTGAGAGAGGCGGTAGCTGCTCTCAGAAGGGGAACAGTTGACGGACTGTTTATTGTTTTTATTGTTTTTCTTTTCATTTTTTCGAGCTGCGCCCTTGGCTCGAAGCCTGGATGCGTCAGCGGAAAATGATTTATGACAGAAAAATCAATAAGTGTGTGACATGTGTTTATGCGGACTTGAGGATGGTGTTGAGGCATCTCTCGAGGCGGCGGGAACACATTTAGAGCTGGGGAACCGTAGACTTCCAGCTCTGTCACAGAGGGGAGAAGGAGGGGCTGTCACGCCGCTTGCTTCTTCTTCCTCGACTGCTGGCCGAAATTCTGGGTTGGCTGCGCCTGGGCTGCAGCCGGAACCGGAGATTTTCTAGGCCAGCTCGCCCTCGTCCCCTGCCTGGGCTGGGGACTCGGGGCGGACTGCGACCTCTGCGTTTCCGGTATTTTGAACCGAGCAGGGTTCGGGGCAGCTAGGACGAAGGGCTGCCGCTGCGAAGGCAGCGGCTGGGCCCTTCGAGGGAGGCAGAGGTGGAGGGCCTCGTCCTCCTTCTTTTTCGACTCGCATCTCCTCTGCATGGAGGCAAGAGCGGAGCCGAAAATCCCCTCGGGAACGATGGGCATGTCAAGCACATCCTCCTTTTCCCGGTCTGGGAGGTTGGTGAGGTTGAGCCATCTAGCTCTTTCCTGCACCACCATGATCCCCATTGTTTTGCCCGTGGCCTGGACGGCGCAGCGTTGGACACGGAGACAAATGTCTGTGACCGCGGCCAACTCGTCCAGAACGGCCGGTCCAGGATTACTCGACATATCCTCACAGAGCTCCGCTTGGTATGCGGTTAGCAGTGAGGAAACGTTCAGAGCCCTGGCGGACAACGCTGCGGCTCTGTAGGACCGTTCAGTCATGGTCGACTGGAAACGGTCCACCTTCGCTGGCAGCTTGGGGTTCCTGCTTGGTGACGGGCCCATCCTCGGTAGGAGGTGGGCTGCCACCAGCAGTTCCATCGGCGGTATGCGGAGCAGGCCGAGCCTCTCCATACCGTCGCAGTCTAGGGAGGAGGCACCCTGGATTGGGGCCTTGTTGGTAAAGGGTCGGTCCCTCCACGAGACCGACACCTCATCCAGCATCTCCGGGAAGACCGGGAGGAGTTGCCTCCTTGTCCTCGTTGCTTGGGGAGAATGTTTCCCCTCGTAACGGGACCTGGCGGTCTCCTTGGCCATTTCGGGCCACGGGATGTCTAGCCTGGACGCAGCGCGCTGACACGCGGCCTGCAGGTCCATGCTCAGACAGGGCGAAGCTGGTGTGCTATCGCCCGGGAGAGCAGCCAACGCTCCCGGCTTTGCCGTTTGAGCCGATGACATGAAGATATCTTCTTCTTGCTCATCCGAATCAGACAGGAGGGACTCAGAGGTGTCCTCTTCGTCCCCCATGTAGTCTAATTCCAGGACATCCTCCGCGGGCGAGACCATGGTGAGGTCTCGCCGGGAGCTCCCGCCTGGTGAGGCGTGGGGCTCCGTTCCCGCGTCTCTTGCCGCCACCGGGTCCCGGCCTGACACGGCGTGGGATCCCGGTTCCGCAGCTGCCGCTGTTAGTGAGCCCCAGACCGACACAGTGAGGGGCTCAGTCTCTGCAGCGGACGCGCCCGTGTCTTGATTGCCAAACGGCGAATCAGTGGACATGAGGGAGTCCTGTTCCAACAAGCTAGCTTGGTGTGCTAGCCGTCGGTGGAGGCTCTTTCGGGTGAAAAGGGCGCAATGCCCGCACGAGCCGGGGTTGTCGATAGCCTCCTGGGCGTGTTCCAGCCCGAGGCAGGACGAGCAGACCTGGTGTGAGTCTGTGCCTGCTATCTTCAACCCGCAGCCGCATGACCGAGCCTCCGAGTCCCTGACTCCTCTGGTGTGAGGGGGAGAGGCGTCCATCTTGTTCGCCTCGTGGCGTGGAGAGGACCCGCTCGTAACAGGTACGTCGTTGAGAGAAAAAGTGTAACCAACCCGTCCTTAATCCGGAGAAAAAGGGACGGTGTGGGTCCTTTGTTCTCAAAGAATATTGACTGGTGTGTCAATATACTTCTAATCCTTTTCTCCTCCGTGAGAGAGAAAAAGAAAAGCGTCCTCGCTACCGTGGTGTCGGTAGTAAGGGGAAGCTAGCTAGCAACGGGTGCGTAGCTAGCTTAAGAAAAATCAAAACCTTACCTTACTTTCCGGGGAAAGAAACGGCGAGGTCGATTTTAATACTAACTGGCGTTAGTATTACCGTCTTCTTGCGAAGCAGAAGGAGTAGCCGGCGAGCGCCCGTCGACCGAAATGGTTATATTTGGGTTCAGTCTGTGGACCGTTAAGCTTGTCCGGCTACTATAGAGATGTGCTCTGAAGCGAGAAGAGGTGTTTGAATGATGCATGCGTCGTGGCGCAAGCTACTTATAGGGGGTGATTCCCTGACGCTGACGTCAAGATCACCAGCCAATCAGGATTGGCGTAATGAGATTGATGCTTCTGTTTGCTCCGCGATGAGGCGCATCCCATAGTGAGACATCGAACGGAGTGTTATGAATGAGAACCCAAGTGGTTTAAGTCAGTGTGGTTTAAGTGTTTGATAGGGACATTTGCATTGATAAGAGGTTACATTCAAATAAATGGATAAAATCCATATTGATTGTGAAGTAAAATATTCTTGGGTGAAAGTACTAAATGTTATTTCGTTTTCCTTTCATGTTTCAGGAACCGGCTTACGGTCTTTTGGAGATTTACAGACTGGCGATGTATTTCTGCTTCTGCCGTCTGTGGTCTCGGCTATTAGTGTGATTGTTATAGCCATCCTTATTCACGCCATCAAGAAAAGCAAGTGTGATTATTGCCATGACAAGGGTAAGTATAGTCCCTCTCTATATCTCACATTAGCTGATGCTAATATCAGTATTTATCAAAAACGAGGTTATCCTTATCTATTTCTAAATTATTTTGTTCATATTGTAGCTGCTGTGTCCCTGCAAGAAAATGTTGCAAAAATAAATGTAAAGGTAAGATCACTATTGCAAAAAAACTTATCGTGCATCTTGATCAGTTTTGACCAAGTTCATTCTTGTCTGCATTACATTTCCTCAGAGAAATGAAGACCCATGGATGTATTCTACTGTCGTCTTTACCGTCATGGAAACCAGCATTGGTGTAACGAAGGAGGGAAAAGCAGCAAAGAGAGAGAGGATCTACGATGCTGCCAAGGCTTTTTGAACGGATTAGCTTGTTAGAAGTGGACGCCGCTAGGGCTGACACATATTATTTTTGCTCACAGATCGGACAGCAAGCGGATAATGAGATGTATCCTGAATTTGACAATTGTATTGCATTAAATAAGCAGACTGCAGCTTGCCTGTTTGAGTTTTAAAGCTAAAAGCTGTTATACCATGTGTGATTTAGCTTGCATTGAGCCTATGATGTTTCTCTGGAATATTCTTTTGTTCATATGCTTACATGTAAAAATACATGATTAAAATAAAAGGGCATTTTGTTCCATTTGGGTTTGTTGGATTTCAAATGTTGTGAAATAGTGATACAAACAGATATTAGCGAAGGCCTGTTGTGCATCTAGGCCGCAGGTACACTGCTTCTTTACAATCATGCGCCCCATGGTTTTTATCAACTTGGTCTTTTTAAGTCCATTCCCTAAAAAACCTACTCAAACATGAATATTTCTTACATCAAAATTCCACCAAATGTGGTAAGAAATACTAAATATGATTTGAATGCAAGTGTGTCAATTGTCTCTCCAGAGAAGACTTTAATTGTTTTCTTCATTGACAGTGAAAGGCAGAATAATGCTTCTAGTTAAAAGGAAGCCAGACGGGAAATGTTACTGCAGTCACAATTAAACTATTGCTCTGTGTAATCAATATACAGGAAGCCTCTTTATGTTTGACAACTTTAACTTTTGGTGGTTGTTGTGAGAATGATTCAAAATGTAAGCAAGCCATGTTGGTTCATGAAACACAAGTGGTCTCCTGTATGAACACCAAACACCAGGGGGCACTGAAAGATGAAAAGCCGTAGATTTTGATTTATTTTTAAGAGTAAGGATTAAACGTTAGCTAGAGGAAACTAATAAAATAACCGCAAATGTATTTATTCCGCTTATTCACTTATATGTGCACAATATAACCACATTTCCATACACCATATTTTTCATATTCATCATGCACAGTTCCACCCCCAAAGGATGATACACAGCAGCTTTTCTTTTAGTTCAGTTTTATATATCTAAGAAATTATAGCCAGCTTTTTTTGTCAAGGAATCACATCAGCAAACACAGGTATTGTTAAATGAATACTAACTAAAACAGTATTCAACACGGCCCTATTCTACACTGCTGTCATACTGTGACACCTTAACAAACAACCTGACTAGCTGGTATTAAACATGATCAAATAATTACTTTTCTTCTCTGCTTCTGAGTCACGGCATATAGAGGACACTGGTTGTTTTCTCACATCTATGTCTGAAAGAAAAGTTGCCTGGAGCATTTTTAAATATGAGGTTCAGCTTTCCTCTTGCTGTTGTCTTGGTTATTTTAGTGCCTCTTGTAACTTTGTTTTCTTTATAAGATGTGTTCAAAATGATAATTAGAACAGTGTTTAATGATTTAATGGAGATATATATGAACCCAGCCTCACAAGAAAAAAATACCCTTTTCCTCTGATTTGCCACTCAAGCTGCTGGGTCCCATTTATTAAGGGGACACATTTTTATTATTTGCAGCCACATATTCAATCAACAGGTTATACATGTAAGCATTAAAAGAAGATAAAAAGTAATCAATATATACTTGATATGCAAAACACAAGCTAATTACAACATGCTATAAAACTTGCGCTTCAACTACATTAATACAATACTCTGTCAAATATCAGCTAATATCTCCTTACGGTGCTCTAGCTGTCCGCTCTGTGTGTGTGCTGAGAAATAATCTGGTATACTGCCCTGTGGGAGCCGTGCAACGCTGGTCCAACAAATCAGCAACTGGCACTCATGCATGTGCACAGGACAGGGAAAGGAATCTCTGACTCCACTTTTAAAAAGCTAACATTTCAAAATGCCTTGGCGGCAGCGTAGATCCTCTCTCTCTTTGATGCTTTTTTGTCTCTCGTTCCACCAATGCTGGTTTTCATCACAGTGTAGATGACAGTAGAATAAATCCATTGGTCATCATTTCTCTGTGAAAATATTTAGCAAACTATGTGAAAAACTGAAATAGATGAATTGTCCATTTTGTGTGTATGTTGATCTTACCTTTGCATTCATGTTTGCAACATAGTCTTGCAGGGACACAGCAGCTTCAAAAGGAAAAATAATTAGAAATAGATAAGCATGCACTTGTTTATAAAATAAGTGATATTATCATCATGTTATATAGTAAGGTATATTTAATTACCCTTATTATGGTCACATTCACACTTGCTTTTCTTGATGGCGTGAATAAGGACGGATATAACAATCAGACTTATAGCCGAGATCCCACACAGCAGATATATGTTGTAAGTCTGTAAATTACCGAGAGAAGCTGAAGAAAACACGAGAGGAATTTACTTTACAATACAACAAATATTTCCTTACAATCATTCTGGATTTTATTTGACTTTTTATAAACTCGTAAATATGCAGATTTCCTAATAAAATTACACTTACTTGGGTTTCTTATTACTATCTTATGATGAACAGCAAAAAATGAATACTGTAACCCTTAGAGAATTGTATTTCCTTTCCTGCCTATTAGTAGGATATGAAGATGCCAAATATAATGTACAAATATTGTCCAGAACATCTTCAATTATTATATTTAATGGGATGGTGAGACCATTAAGGTGAAAACTTCTGGGGAATATATTGTATATCAAACAATTTTGAATATAAATATTTTTCAAACCTAAAAGCACCTAACCCAGCAGTAAAAGGGAGACAAATTATTAAAATATATAGCAATACTTTTACCTGCAGTTACATCTCCAAATAATATCTCTCCACATGAGGCCACAGCACAGTAGTAAGTCCCGGCATCAGAGGAGCTGACGTTCTTTGAGAAGCGATAAACACAACTCTTCTGAGTGTCCGGCAATATCTCACATTCCTCTTGTCTTCTTCCATCAGTGTAGATGATGCTAGGACGAGATTTATCTGATCCAGCTCTGAACCAGAACACACTGATGTCTCCTTGACATGTTTTATTCTCAGATTTAGAGAGGACTGAACACTGAAGGGTCATCGAGTTTCCTGGAGGAGCTGGATCAGATAATGTCGGCCACTGAACAACAGAATAGTTTGAAGTCCTCTGAGTGTTTCCTGAAAAATACAAAACTGTTTTAAAAAATTGATCCCATTTTATCTGACATTTGTAAAAGTATTAACATGAATCTGCTGATATTTAGCAAATGTGGAGCTGCTTTATTAGTAGAGATTCCCTCAAAGTGAAATTTAGATTGCTGGTGACCTTCTACCGCTCTACCATCGAGAGCCTATTAACATACTGCATCACAGTGTGGTACACCAGCTGCACTGAGGCCGACAGGGTGAGGCTCCAGAGAGTTGTAAAAGTCGCACAGAGGATCATCGGCTGCCCTCTCCCCTCCCTGATGGACATTTACACCTCCGCTGCCTCAGTAGAGCCAAAAACATTGTTAAGGACAGTTCACACCTCGGCTTTCACCTGTTCAACCTGCTGCCCTCCGGCAGGCGCTACAGGTGTATCAAATCCAAAACAAACAGACTCAAGAGCCATCATTGCTCTTAACACCTGAAAGTCATACTTCTTAATCATCCTGCATGTGAAATAAATGTGACTCTGTACATATATACATATATATCATTACTACAGTATTATTATTATAAATACATACCTACCATTATTATTTATTACATTATAGATTTTATTTTTATACTCCTGTAAATAATTACTGCATTTTATTCCTTATTCCTAAGTATGTATGCTGCGTGTATTTGTTGTCTTATGTTGTGATGTTTGTGTTGTTTTGATGGCACCCTTGAAAGGGAGAAGCATTTATTTATCTCATTGTACCTGTATAATGACATTAAACGATTGTATTATATTAGAGCTTCAATACAGATAAAGCAGAGGATAGAACGTGATTACCAAGTTTTAACCATATATTTAAAGATATGGTGCATGGCAGAATTGGAAACACTTTTAGGGTTGAGTGGTTAACACTGTAATGTTTCTCAAATATATTCAACATAGCTGGTAAAGAAATCAACATCCAAAGTAAATACAAATATCTGAAAGCAAATAGAATAATTGTATCTTAATTGTATGTCTAACTGAATTTGTATTTTAATTTGTGTTAAAATGCAACAGATAATTGAAATGTTACTTTCCTTAAATATTACCAAAGTGCAGCTTTGGATCCGACCTGAAGCATGTAAAAAAACTCATTCTAATGAACTAGATCACATTTACCTTTTAGTAACAAATATGTCCCACTCCATACAGGATTTCCATAAGACTCTGTGATTAAGCAGTGATACATTCCTTCATCTTCTGGGATTGTCCTCCGAATCGTCAGGGTGCTTAACTTGTTATCGCGTTTTACCTCTAATCTTGAGTCAGAAAACTCTGGTGCAAACTCAGGTTTTGTAGATCCGAGCAGTGTCACAATTAATGTCAGAGTCTCTCCAGCATTTTGTTTGAACCAGTAGAGCTGTTTACTGCCATACTCAGTAGTAGGCAGAGCACACGTGAAGGTCACATATTCACCAAGAGGAACTGTAGTCACTGGAACCAGCGTATCTGAAATAAATGACAGAAAACAAACCGTGAAACATTAAATAACAATTAGTTTACAATATGTATCATGCACAAACAAAGTTTAGGTACATTATGTATAGTGTGCATGGACATTCTTAACTAGATACTTGCACTTACAGCCTTGGTGAAGAACAAGCAGTGTTACCCATAAAAGCAGCATCTTGATATTGTATTTTGTTAGAGAACTCTTTGGTATTTGAGTGATTTTAAAGTAGAAGTCACATGGTCACGAGTATGTATGTCAAACTGTCAAATGCATCTGATTGGTTTTCACGGAATAAAGGTTCAAAGTTGCTCTTCCTGTAACTCTGGTCCCTCCCTAGTCTTTTTGAAGCATTATTCTTCTCAATTCACCAAAGGCATTTAAACACTTTCAATAAAGATTAGAGGTAGCATATTGCCTATGCAGTTATACTTGAATATATTGTAAACCTATGCTGACAGTATTGGACAACACATTAAATGATAATAAATACAACTGAGGAAACTACAAGATACCATAATGCAGTTTTAAACTGTCTAGATGAGTCTGACAACCTTTATAAAATCTGCTTCAATTCACATCACTTCGAGCACTATTGGATTACCAGCCTCTCCACATTAATGATATTGCCTACATGTTCATCTGCAATATTTTAAGATTGCACATACATATAATATGTTTCATTCACTTAGCAGGTTGAAAAACAATTAAAAATGTCCTTCCTTGCCACTATCCCTTCACTGCATATCATTTTGAATCCTATAGTCAGGTTAGTTCTGAGTAGACAGCCTTGATGGCCAAAGGGTGGAGAAATGACCCTGTCTGTCACTGAAGCGGCTTTATTTTTCTACTTGTGTATGCAAAACAACCTAAGGATTTACAAAGAGGTTTTCTAATGCTGTATATTTAAAAAATGACTGTGTAGGAAGTTGTGTTTGACAAAAACAGTGCAGTTTACTCACATGAACAATGAATGTTGGCGCTCCTTTTCGGCATATTGAAGGCTAAGCCACTAGGCTGCGACTGCACTGCATATTTGTTATATCATTTATCATTTCCCATGTACCATTAGTTGGCATTTTACAAAACACCAAACATTTCAATATACCAGTAGTAAATATTGATGGTCAAATCAGAGGCATATTGTGTATTTTAAGAAACACGGTCCAATTTGCAAACATCATAACATTACATCTCATTAAGCTGACGATTTTTACCGATCAAAGTTTATTTATTCGTTCTTCACGCCATCAACAATATTTGCCCCCCTTTTATGCATTAAATGTATTCCTCTGTGGGATTTTATTAAAAATGGTGCTTTCTGCCATGTTTTGTAAAAGGCAAATGGTTCAACAAGCTGAAGATTTTCAATTAATTTACATTAAATAAATATTAGCTTGAAAAGGATCTGACACCATTAACATTTCAATATAAATGCATTGCTTGTAATGCAACAAAAAGCACAACAGCCTATATAGGTCTCTTAGGTCTAATCCTACCACATTGTTGTTGCAGCTGAATTAGAAATGCATTTATTTATCTTTTCTGATTTGTGTACACAGAACATATAACCTGCCATTCGCCCCCTCTGCTTGTCACTTCAGCAGGAAGAGCACAGCGTGCAGAGTAGGGCTGTCAAACCACCCATCCTCGACACATGCACACTTTGCAGAGAGCTTGTTAGAGGAAGCAGCAGATCAACAGCCTCAGATTATCACAGGAACACATTCATCCTGACACAATTTCTGACCTGCATATTTGTATCTGAGGGAAGAAACCAAGGAATGTAAACCAAGAAAAAAAACAAAAAAAAAACTGATGGCTATTTACAAATCAATTAACATAAAACAATCCTCGATCATGATACTGTGCACTCGTACACTATTGACACTTAGTAGGATCACCTAACAATATAATGCAGTCCAGTAAAACTCCCCGCACTCTGGCATCATAATTTACCAAGAAGAAAGAGTTAGGGTTTCTTGACAACAAGGTGTATAGAGAATATAATTAGAAACTTAGCAACTTATCTATGTCCAGAACATCTGTCCGAGCAGCATGTTGTGGTTTGTGGCTTTCTTCAGGGTCAACAGTTGTTGACATTGACAACAAGCCATAATATGCCTTGTACGTTCACACAAACAGTCAGATATAAATGCTTCACACTGACAACCAGATAATGCATGGAAACTTCAGCTGCTGTGGTTGGGCTTCACACTGAGGTGTGAATACAAAGGGGCACTTGTACCTTTATCATTCTATAAACCTCAGGACGCTGAGCTTTCACTGCTGATTTACCTGGTTTTGTATTTCTTCGTTGGCAAGTGAAATACACTCATCTCACTATGTGATGACCCTTTTCATTTCACCTTACTGCGAGTTGATACCTTTTATCTGTAGTCCCAGTCCGAGAGGGGAGGTGCCAATCATTCACTGAACCCACCCAGGTCTAGTCAAAGCAGGAGTTTGAACTAGGATGGGTCAAATGCAGAAAAACAATTTCCCCACGGGGATTAATAAAGTCTATCAAAAAATATATGATATGTTAATATCTAGATTGCAAATGGTTGTAGATGCTTTTTGTTGCATCTGAAGCATATACTTTTTTCTTTTGAATGAGCAAAGGAACAAGTCAAACTTAAAGAATTAAGCTTCTGAAGCGTCTCTCCTCGCTTCACATCCTGTTGAGGCCCATAAGCAGGTCTGTTCTGAGTACAGGAATTGATAGCGGTCAAAGGGTGGAGAGATGGCCCACCACAACGCATGACTCTCAGTGTAGCTGTTCCATGTGGCTTTGCCTCTTGTTCTGATGCATATGGTCTTTACAAAAGGATGTGAGATCTGAAAGATTGAAAGAAAGATTGTGTCCATAACATATTGTCATAAGTGTCTCAAAGTGCACATGTAAAAAATATAAGTTAAGATATGTGATGTATAAAATGCATGATACTACTTATTTGTCAGTGGACAATTCAACTTGGTTAACAAAGGTGTAACTTGGATTTTTAGATAATATCTGGCAGTCAAAATGTCTGTTGTAGAAAAAATCTTTAGACCTGATGCATTGCACAATAATGCAGGATTGACAGAATCATAGGGTTTTTTTTTTGTGTAGTTTGGTCACATTTCCTCTCAATGCACAGGATTCACACCTGATCTCTTTGGCTGTGGTTGAAGATGGCTGACGTTCTCCTTTTTAATGTCCAGTTTTGGAGACAGAAGGCTAAATATTTTACTAGAAGTGTCTTGTCTTCACTGTCATTCTTGGAAAATGAACAGTTACTGAACAATTTAAAGACTCATGGTTCACAGCAACAAAAATAAAAACTCAGTATCTTTTTAACATCATAAATGTCAGCGATGACAACCAGGCACAATTACAGCATAACACTACTGTACCGTTACCAACCATTGGAATAGCATCATACAAACAGGAAATGTGTTTCTTCTGTGTATGTGTTTTATTGTGCATATGCTTAAATAACACAATATACAAACAAATTAGTCATAATCTTTATATTGTTCACATCACGTCCATTAAATATACTAACACAGTGTCTCAATAGGCTGTTTTGCTGTTGTTAATTAACCATATAAGACAAAGAACTAGGGATGACAGAATCAATACATATAAATCCCGTAGTCTGAATAAAGGTACAACCACCTATCAGAGGATGATAGCTTAATGGGGCATTAACTGTTATACCAGGGGCATGGGGCTTAACTGGTTTTAAGGCATCAATATTTGTTCATGTTCTAAATTGTAAGAATGTAGTTTTATTGTAACTTTGGTTAATTTTACCCAGTAATAACAGGCCCAACATCACAATGGGCTTAAACCCAAGCACATAACATTCATACACTTTGTGTCTCCTACTGAGGCCTTTTTTATATTAATTGTTGAATCATTTTCTTCCCAAGCTTCCCTCTTTCTAATCCTCATCAAGCAAGTATAAGTATTCATTTATCAGTTTAACCCAAAGGATATACATTTTGAGCTTTCTGTAAAATGGTTGCAAATTTGAGTCCTGGGTTATCTCAACATCCTTTCAAATGTCTTCATCTGTCAAAAGGGGAAATTCAACTTAAATAATTAACTCTAAAATAATAATCTCTATGCAGAAATGTCATGTATGATGTCATCATACATGTACTCAACATATTCTGTGAACTCATAACTACAGTTTCATGTAGTTATATTTCAAAATGAAATCCAAAAGTAAAATTCCCATAAAAGGGTAAAATTCCAGACTCTACTTAAAAATGTAGCGACAATTGAACAATTGAACCCTTTCTAACATTATTTAACTTTTTCTGCAGTAGCAACGTGTACCACCCGTAATCCTAGAGCCAACGAGGCGGCAGTGGATGAATCAACTGACCTGGTAAATATATTTGTAACTGTGAAACTATGTACCAAATGTGGAGGCAAAAAGCATTCTTGTACATTTTTCTGACTTTAGACTCAATCATTCAAAGACTTGGTTTGGATGAAGTGTCTTTCATTTGACAGGCCTAATATTTAAGGAATGTATGTTTAATAGACTATATGATTTGCAGGATGGAGACGAAGAGGCGGTAAACTATGCAGCACTGAATTACTCCACAAGAAAAGTGAAAAAAGTGAAGCAAAAGCAAGAGTTACCACAGGAGTGTGTGTACTCCGCCGTGAGAGCAAACCACACACAGCACCACGCGCTCGTGTGAGCTTTAGCTTAGCTTAAGCTTTGCATGTTTTTAACAAATGTTGTGCTGTTAATTACTTTGCTTTATATTTTGCTTTTAAAAGCTAGTTGTTGATGTGACAAGCACGAAAGAACACTGCTTGTTGCACAGGCATGAGGAGGCGACTGAGAATGCCTCAAGTTGAAATTAATAAACTTTTCAAACACCCGGAGAAAAATATGTGGGTAATCAATGTTCATCAAAAAGCAATGCTGCATTTAAGATGCATTTAATTACTGTGCATTGTTCTTTTGGATGCAACTGATTGAACATGTGTTCCCTTAATAATCATCACCCAGCAGCAAATGCAGTCACTTGGAAACAGAGCAGTGTGTAACATTACTGTGTCGTTGAAAAAGTTGTTTTTCAACAGTTGAGTAATTTCTTGCATTTAAATAACTGTTTCGATGTGTTCCAGTCAGGCTTTCGTCCAAACCACAGCACTGAGACTGCTCTTGTAAAGGTCTTTAATGACATCCACTTAAACACAGCCAGTGGCAGAACTTCAGTGTTAGTATTATTAGATCTCAGTGCTGCGTTTGACACTGTTGACCACAGCATATTACTAGACCGACTAGAAAACTGGGTGGGACTTTCGGAAACAGTTCTACTGTAAATTGGTTTGAATCCTACTTAAAGGACAGAAACAACTTTGTTTCTATAGGTAAATACACATCTGAGTTGACAAATATGACATGTGGGGTTCCTCAAGGCTCCATCTTGGGGCCTCTTCTCTTTAACATCTACATGCTACCACTGGCTCAGATAATGAAAAACAACAAAATAAGTTACCATAGCTATGCAGATGACACACAAATGTACGTAACAATTTCACCAGGAGACTATGCTCCAATTCAAACACTGAGTAAGTGCATTGAACAAATCAATGACTGGATGTATCAGAACTTTCTCCAATTAAACAAAGATAAAACTGAGGTAATGGTTTTTGGAGCCAAGTCAGAACGTATAAAAGTTAGCGCTGAGCTTCAGTCTGCAACAGATAAAGCCAGAAATCTAGGTGTAGTCATGGACTCTGACCTGAGTTTCAACAGTCACATTAAAACAGTTACTAAATCAGCCTACTATCACCTAAAGAATATATCTAGGATTAAAAGACTAATGTCACAGCAGGATTTGGAAAAACTTGTCCATGCTTTTATCTTCAGTAGACTCAACTACTGCAATGGTGTCTTCACAGGTCTCACTAAAAAATCTATTAGGAAGCTGCAGCTGATTCAGAACGCCGCTGCTCGAGTCCTCACTAACACTAAGAAAGTGGATCACATCACTCCTGTTCTGAAGTCTTTACACTGGCTTCCTGTGTGTCAAAGAATAGATTTCAAAATACTGCTGCTGGTTTATAAAGCACTGAATGGTTTAGGCCCAAAATACATTTCTGACCTTCTGCTAAATTATGAACCATCCAGATCTCTCAGGTCTTCAGGGACTGGTCAGCTTTCTGTCCCCAGAGTCAGAACTAAACATGGTAAAGCAGCGTTCAGTTATTATGCTCCAAATATCTGGAACAAACTCCCAGAAACCTGCAGGTCCGCTGCAACTCTGACTACTTTTAAATCCAGGCTGAAGACTATTCTTTTTGTCGCTGCTTTTAATTGAACTATTCACATCTTAAACTGCACTGTAACTTTTATCCATGTATTTTTTCTTGTAATGTTTATTTTATTAGCTTTTCTTTTTAATGACTGATTTTAGATGCCATTTTCTTAATGTCTTTCATTTTTTGTAAAGCACTTTGAATTGCCTTGTGTTGAAAAGTGCTATATAAATAAACTTGCCTTGCCTTGCCTTGTAGAATATATTAAAGTAAAAACGTTTGCTAATATTGATTTAATGACAAAAATGGCTGGTTACTTTTAGTTCTTTGACGGATAAAACGGGTTGAACTTTGCATGAACTATATCATTTGCATATAAATGATTGTTGTATTTACATTTGGATATATGGCACATACATTTTAAGAAAAATAAATATGTTTGCTGTAATTTCACTAGTTTTATATTAGCAGAAGAAGAAACATGAAAACATAAAACAATCCAAATGACTGCTTTACACCAAAAAAACAGTAATGAAGCTACATTTGCTCTAAAAAAACCAAAACAAGACCTTTTAATGCCCCCTGGTGTATAGTATGGAGAAGAGCAGAAAATAGATTATATATAGAGGAAATAGACTCTTCCTGCTTTGCTCTTCCAAGTTGATAAGACAAAGGGTGTACGGCGGCATAGAATCAGTGAGACAACAGTATAGATGTTTGACAGGCATTCACTAATATCTGTGTTTGACAAAAACTTCAACATACAGAAATGGAACAAAATGCATTTTTTATTTAAATTCATTCAATATCACTTAAGCATAAGAAGAAAAAAACATCAAACAAACATTGTATGAGTAATGCAAGCTAATTCCAACATGTTATAACAGCTTTAAACTTAAACACATTACCATTATATCACATTTGGTACAAAGATATCTAATACAGTCCAGTTAAAAGGTGCCGTCTAAGATTTAAATCCAATATACTACTAGCAAATATCTACTTACACTCCGCTAGCTGACTGCATTATGTGCCTATGCTAAAAGAAAAGCTGGTTATGATCCAGCCAATCAGCATCAGGGCGTTTATGCCTGTGCGAGGACAGGGGAAAGGAGGGCCATGGATGTGTAAAGAGAAAGGCAGTGGGAGCAAGAGGCAGGGTAAATACGAAGGGGGACATTTGTTTTTAAGATCAAATATCAACAATCTTTCTTGAGAATTGCTGACTCCACATTTGACTCAGATCAAAAAGCCTTGGCAGCCGTGTAGACCCCGGGGCCAGTTTCCATCACGGTGAAGACGACAGTAGAATAAATCCACGGGTCTTCATTTCTCTAAGGAAATATATTACAAATTATTTGTGATAATAAACCTGATCGAGTTGCATCATAAGCCTTTTGCAATGTTGATCTTACCTTTACATTCCTTTTTGCAACATTTTCTTGCAGGTAAACAGCAGCTACAATATGAACACAAGTTAAAAATAGAAAAGGATGCCCTAGTTTGTAAAAAAAATGATATTAGCATCAGCTAAATAATGTGTATTTTAGATAGGTAACTTATTTTACCTTTATTATGGCAATAATCACACTTGTTTCTCTTGATGGCGTGAATAAGGATGGCTATAACAATCACACTAATGGCCGAGACCACAGACGGCAGAAGCAGAAATACATCGTCTGTCCGTGAGACGGTTCCTGAAAGATGAAAAGGAAAATGCAATAACATTTAGTTAGAGTAAAAGAAAATGTACCTCCACCAAAGAAGATTTTAATTTACTGTAATTATTTTCCTTACAATCACTTTTATTTGAGTTTGATTTTTATTTGATGTCTGATCAACACTTAATATGCAAACGTCCCTATCAAACACTTAAACACTTCATAAGCTAACCTATAATATATATACAGCAATCGATGTTCGAACCCGCACGCCTTCATTTCCTTCCTATTATTAAATAACAACAGATGCAGAATATTGGCATGGACGTCTATAATAATTGTATAAGATCGGATGGTACATTGGCAAAAAACGTTTTGTAACTAATATAGCCTATAAGGAAGATACTGAACATTCCCTGTTGGCAGTGGCCTCTTTCAGCAGGATAATGTGTGATGCCACACAACAAATAAAATGGTTCAGGAATGGTTTGAGGAACACGACAACAATTTCAAGGTGTTAACTTGGCCTTCACATTTCCCAGATCTCAATCCGATTGAGCATCTGTGGGATATGCTGGATAAACAAGTCTGATCCATGGAGGCCCAAACCTCACAACTTACAGGACTTAAAGGATCTGCTGCAACGTCTTGATGCCAGATACCATACAGCACACCATCAGAGGTCTTGGAGTCAATGCGTCGACGGGTTAGGATGGTTTTGCCCGCAAAAGGGGGTAATAATGTTATGGCTGAACAGTGTAGTTGTAGCTCATACTTCATCTCCCTATATAAAAGCACTTAGAGACTTAATATTAATAAACAGAAATAGACTTTAAAACATACTTGTCTCCACTGTAGTTCCTTCTCCAAACAGGATCTGTCCACATGTAGCCACAGCACAGTAATACGTCCCGGTATCAGAGGACTTGTGTATAGTTTTGGACAGACTGAAGACACAACTGCGTTCCTTTTGTTCGTCACTGTGAGTGTAAATTATGCTTGGATGGGATTCTCCTGATCCAGATCTGAACCAGGAAACATTGTGTTCACCTGTACACTGATCTGCGCTTTTGTTGTTTTTAGAGATAAGTGAACACTCCAGAGTCACTGAGTCGCCGGGCTGGACTGACTTGGTCTTCGGACTTTGCTTCACGTAGAAAGATTTCTGCTGATCTGCGTGATTTAGTAAAAGAAAACATAACATTTATATAAATTATTTGTATGACATGAGACTTGACACAATAACTGAAAGTAATAGATATTTACCATTCACATCCAAGAAGATGCCAATGCCAAAACTCAGTGAATACGTCCATCCAGTGAGACAGAAATATGTTGCTTCGTCCTCTTTACTGACATTTCTGATTGTGAAAAGATAATGAGTATCATCTTTTGTTGCTGTGAACCGTGTGTCTAAAAAAGGTTCAGTAACTGTTAGTCTGCCAAAAATCAAGTTAAAAACTGGCTGGGCCATTTGTCCAAGAGACTGCTTGAACAGAGACAATTGTTTGCCTTTGTTATCCAAAACTGGACATTGAAAAGTAAAGTTTCCACCAACTTCTACCACAGCCAATGAGATCAGGTGAGGATCCTCTGCCGATTCAATCAGAGCTAAAGAAAAAAGACAAAGAAAAGGTTTATTGGAGGAGATCATCTTTAAGATCATCAAATGGTATTGTCTTTCATACAGGAATAAAGAATTGCACTTACACATCGTAGAAAGAAGAATCAAAGCAGCCAGTTGACCGATCATTGTGGTGCAGCTCTGTCGTCTCGCACGACTGATGTCTTTCCACCCAAATGAAGGTTTGTTCACAAGAAGATCAACGTCTACAAAGTAGCAATTGTAGTGATTGGCTGAAATGTATAAAATTACCTCTCCCCTACATTTAAAACCTGTGGACCATTTTATTTCGATCAGAAATCTCTCTGTTCTAAGATTTAATTTTTTCAAAGAAGCCCCTTTATTTAGACAATAACATATTGTTTCAGTTTTGGGTGCTTAGCTAAGAAGTACAGGACCTATTCAAACAGCAAACCATATTGACACATTTTACGAATGTGTATTTAATCACACCAGCATGAGAACCAAAAAACACACACAGAGACATTATTTCAGTGTCACTCTATTCAACAGACAAAAGGAAAGCAATGTGGGAACATGACAACTGCTAGCTAGCAAAAACATCTGTTTTTATCAAGTACATTGCAGATTCCATATGGTCACAGAAAACTAATTATGTAGCTTAATAAGATGTTTGGTTTACATACTGGATATACTGTACTTACTGAGCAACAGCAGTGAGTTGGATGGCTCCACACACGAAATACATTGTTGGAGTTGCTCAATGCTGTATATTTCACTCTATGTAGGCTAGCTGTTTTGTTCCATAACATTACAATAGCCACAGTGTAGGTGGTAGAAAGCTGTAGGGGAGAGGTGAGAGGAAATATCACCAAAACCAAGAGATGTGAAGAACTTACAGGTTAAAGTATGTGTTGAGATAGTGCTCTCTGTAAGGTAGAGCATTGTCATTTTCTCAAGTTGAACAATATTGTATTGTAGAGTATCACTGATTTTTTGTTTTTAAACCCCAAAAACTCCCTTACTTTATTGGCAGTGAACTCCAAAGCATGCCTTCATTTATTTTAGATTTGACTGAGTACTCAATGTTGTTCCTTTTTTGCCCTAACAGTATATGATTTTGTGCATCCTGGATTTCTGTAAACCCTATAGTCCTACAACCAGTCTTGACCATTTGTGATTCTCTAATGTTCCCAAATAGATCAGGATCGAACCCTAACAATTACTTTGTGTAAAAGAGACATTTCAATCCATTATAGCAGGAAAAGCAAAAGTAAAACCAGTAACATAAGGGACTAGGCCATGCCATTTGTATTGCAAATAACCATATTATCGTTACACCTGTGGACAATTTCCACTGAGAAAGCAGTGGTGTATAATATTTTACACAGCATACATGCAATGTTTCATTTTTGCAAAGTGCTTTTAAGAGGGAGAGACCGAAGCATGGCTGACAAAACAAATGGGGAATATGTTGTGATTCACACACAATTAATATTTTTTTGCAAAAGACAATGTTTGTTGTTCGAAATACAAAATAGAAAGTCAGAAGTCAACTACTTCATAGAATCGAGCACTCCACCTTTCAGATCTGACATCCCTTTGTAAAGACCTTCTGCTTCAGAACAAGAAGCAAAGCCACATGCAACAGCTACACTGAGAGTCATGCGTTGTGGTGGGCCATCTCTCCACCCTTTGACCAAGCATCAAGGCTGTTACTCAGAACTATGGGCTTCAACAGGATGTGTAGTGAAGTGAGAGCTACATGAGACTTCAATAGGCTTCATCACTTTTTTTGTTTGACACATGCTCATTTAAAGTAAAAACATTTCTATCTCAAGATTATTTCTAAAGATGCAAAAGCATCTATCTAATTTACAATCTAACTGTATTGATTCATTAAACATTCAATTAGACAGGTAGCCATTCTATCAGGAATAGGGAGACAAAACTATAGATTACTTACGTAACCCCAGTTCTCAGAGTAACATGAAGTGAGATGTCTCACTATGGGATGCGCCTCATCGCGGAGCAAACAGAAGCATCAATCTCATTACGCCAATCCTGATTGGCTGGAGATCTTGACGTCAGCGTCAGGGAATTCACCCCCTATAAGTAGCTTGCGCCACGACGCATGCGTCATTCAAAATAAGCACCTCTTCTCGCTTCACCATAGCAAGGAGGGCCGTCTGGTGAGACATCTCACTTCATGTTACTCTGAGAACTGGGGTTACGTAAGTAACCTATAGTTCTCATTCATAACACTCCGTTCGATGTCTCACTATGGGAAATTGTAGCTCCCGTATTGTCAGACGAGCTTATCTCGAAAATCACCAAACCAACCAGAACTTAACAGGTAGAGCTCTGACTCAACCAGGTGCCCAGCACTGCTTGAGTCACACTGGGAGCAGAACGTCCAGCCTGTTAAGAGGCGGACAAAAGTGAGCGGCGAGGACCAGCTCGCCGCTGCACCAATGTCTTGGATGGGAGACATCCTGGACAGAGTCCAGGATGCAGCCAGACCCTGAGTCGAAAGAGCTCGCGGACCCGAGGGTGCCTGCGAACTCTGACTCATATGGGCTCCAAAGCAATTGCTTCCACAAACCAGTGGGAGAGCCGTTGCTTAGTAACAGGCTTGCCCTTATAAGGGTTAGCCCAGGACACAAGGGGTTGGTCATTATGATGAAGCACCCTTGATCTGTCCCTGTACGTGCGTAAAGCACGGGCTGGACACGGCAAATCCGGCCGCTGTTCCCCGGAGGAATACAGTGGCGGGGAGGATGCCTCAATGTCAAATGTGGTACCTGAACCAACCGCCTTAAGATAAAGGCAGGGTTGGGCTTCAATCCACACTCTGTTTGCCCTGGGGCGAACTGAGTGCATGAAGACTGTACAGATAGTGCATGAGTGCCACTGGCTCGCTTGGCAGCTGCCAGGGTCAGCTTCATGTCACACTGTATTCAGATTGTACCACCCGGGCCAGGCCCATCGAGCCAAGCGCTCTGGGTGTGGGTGAAAGATCGCCCCCCCCCCACTTGGGACAGTATGTCCCTGCGTAGTGGTGACCACTTTCCGTGAAAGGACAGCACCCATAGGCACACCTCGTACTAGAAAAGTCAGGTGCAGCCAGTGGCGCAGTGCCATTACGCATTTCACAGTAACCATCACTCTCCGCGCGCCATGGCGAGACAAGCTCTGAAAGCTTTCACTCTTTCCGCTGACAAGCGAACCGAGTTCAGGTGTAAACCCAGGAAGAGTATAGTCTGCGCGGGGCACAACATGCTCTTCTCTGTGTTTATTATGAAACCCAGGTTGAGCAGGTGCTTTACGAGGACATTTGTCTGCGTAACAGCCTCCTGCTCCGACTGTGCGAGAAGCAGCCAGTCGTCCAGGTAGGTCGCCAGGCGAATACCCTGTTGTCTTAACGGGGCTATCGCGGCTTCCGTACATCGTACAAACACCCTTGGACTGAGAGACAGACCGAAGGGGAGTACTCTGTATTCATAACAGATCCCCTGAAATGCGAATCTCAGATATTTCCTGTGTGGGTAATATACTGGGATGTGAAAATACGCATCTTTCAGGTCGACTGATGTAAACTAGTCGTCTTGTCGCACGAGCCGCAGCAGAGATGTGTGAGTGAGCATTCTGAACTTATATATTTTTAGATATTTGTTCAGAGCCCTCAAATCAAGTATTGGCCGAATTCCGTTCCCTCCCCGTATGGGAACAAGGAAGTACCTGGAATAGAAGCCGCCCTGACTCTGCTCGGCGGGTACAATAGATATAGCCCTCTTTTCTAGGAGAGAGAGAATCTCTCTCTCCAGAATATGGGCTGACTCTCCTCGGGCCTGCGAATGTAGAATGCCCGAGAAGCGAGGGGGGGTGACAGCGAATTGTAGTCTGTAGCCCCGTGTTACTGTCTTGAAAACCCAAGCAGATGATGTGAGCATCTTCCACTGCATGCTCCTTAGAGCCAGTGGAGATGTCACATCTCTTCCCCTCTGAGTCTCTATTTGTTGTGTTATGTGGCCCTCTAGAGTCTGAACACAGTGGTGCCCCTTTTCGACAATCCCCACCGACACTGCGCATGCGCATGACGGTGGTGCCTTCACAACCCCAGCCGGCACTGCGCATGCGCGTGGCGGTGGTGCCTTTAAAGCCCCAGCCGGCACTGCGCATGCGCGTGGCGATGGTGCCTTCACAGACCCGCCTGTAATCCGCCTTTTGAGAGATGCCGTAGCTGTTCTCAGAAGGGGAACAGTTGACGGGCTGTTTATTGGTTTTATTGTTTTTCTTATCATTTTTTTGAGCTGCGCCCTCGGCCTGAAGCCTGGATGCGTCAGCGGCAAATGTTTTATGACAGAAAAATCAACAAATGTGTGACATGTGTTTGTGCGGACTTGAGGATGGTGTTGAGGCATCTCTCGAGGCGGCGGGAACACATTTAGAGCTGGGGAAGCGTGGACTTCCAGCTCTGTCACAGAGGGGAGAAGGAGGGGCTGTCACGCCGCTCGCTTCTTCTTCCTCGACTGCTGGCCGAAATTCTGGGTTGGCTGCGCCTGAGCTGCAGCCGGAACCGGAGATTTTCTAGGCCAGCTCGCCCTCGTCTCCAGCCTGGGCTGGGGACTCGGGGCGGGCTGCGACCTCTGCGTTTTCGGTGTTTTAAACCGAGCAGGGTTCGAGGCAGCTTGGGCGAAGGACTGCTGCTGCGAAGGCAGCGGTTGGACCCTTCGAGGGAGGCAGAGGTGGAGTGCCTCGTCCTCCTTCTTTTTCGACTCACACCTCCTTTGCATGGAAGCAAGAGCGGAGCCGAAAATTCCCTCGGGAACGATGGGCATATCCAGCACATCCTCCTTTTCCCGGTCTGGGAGGTTGGTGAGGTTGAGCCATCTCGCTCTTTCCTGCACCACCATGATCCCCATTGCCTTGCCCGTGGCCTGGACGGCGCAGTGTTGGACACGAAGACAAATGTCCGTGACCGCTGCCATCTCGTCCAGAGTGGCTGCCCCCGGGTTACCCGACAGGTCCTCGCAGAGCTCCGCTTGGTAAGCGGTTAGCAGCGAGGACACATTCAGGGCCCTGGCGGACAACGCTGCGGCTTTGTAGGACCGTTCAGTCATTGTCGACTGAAATCGGTCCGACTTTGTTGGCAGCGTGGGGTTCCTGCTTGGTGACGGGCCCATCCTCGGTAGGAGGTGGGCCGCTACCAGCGGTTCCATGGGCGGTACGCGGAGCAGGCCGAGCTTCTCCATTCCGTCACAGTCTAGGGTGGAGGCACCCTGGATTGGGACCTTGTTGCTGAAAGGCCGGTCTCTCCACGAGACCGACACCTCATCCAACATTTCCGGGAAGACCGGAAGGAGTTGCCTCTTTGTCCGCGCTGCTTGGGGAAAATGTTTCCCTTCGTAGCGGGACCTGGAGGTCTCCTTGGCCATTTCAGGCCACGGGATGTCGAGTCTGGCCGCGGCGCGTTTACACACGGCCTGCAGGTCCATGCTCAGACAGGGCGAAGCTGGTGTGCTATCGCCCGGGAGAGCAGCCCTCGCTCTAGGCTTTGCAGCCTGAGCCGATGACATGAAGATGTCCTCTTCATGTTCATCCGACTCGGACAGGAGGAACACCGAGGTGTCCTCTTCGTCCTCATCGTAGTCCAGCTTGAGGACATCCTCCGCGGGTGAGACCATGGTGAGGTCTAACCGGGAGCCCCAGCTCGGTAAAGCGTGGGGTCCCGTTCCCGCGTGTCTTGCCGTCACCGGGTCCCGGCCTGCCAGGGCGCGGGATTCCGGTTCTGCAGCCATCGCAGATAATGAGCCCCAGACCGACACTGAGAGGGGTTCACTCTCTGCGGCGGACGCCCCCGCGTCTTGACTGCCGGCCGGCAGGTCAGTGGACATGGGGGGGTCCTGCTCCGACAGGCTAGCTTGGCGTGCTAGCCGTCGGCGGAGGCTCTTCACGGTGAAGCGGACACAATGTCCGCACGAGCCGGGGTTGTCGATAGCGCCTCGGGCGTGTTCCAGCCCGAGGCAGGACGAGCAGACCTGGTGTGTGTCTGTGCCCGAGATCTTCAACCCGCAGCCACAGAGTCGAGCCACCGAGTCCCTGACTCCTCTGGTGTGAGGGAGAGAGGCGTCCATGTTGTTCGCCTCGTGGCGTGGAGAGGACCCGCTCTCAACAGGTAGGTTGGGAGAAAAAGGTGTTACCACCCTGTCCTTAATCCGGAGAAAAGGACGGTGTGTGTTTATTCCCGGAGAATACTGACTGGTGTGACAGT